AAGAAATAGAAACGATAATAATAATGATAATGATACGATAATAATAATAATTATTATTATCATAATAATCATTTATCACCTTGATCTCCCTCACATCTTTGACCTTCACCTTACAATCCCACATACCTCTGACCTTCACCTTGACCTTCACCCTGACCCCCTCACCACACACACCTTTTAACCCTCACCTTAACCTCTCTTCAACCCTCCTCACCTTATCATCGCCCACCAAGAACACATCAGCACAGCCCGCGTAGCATGGAGAGAAGTACAGCACGCCATCCCGACCACACATCGGGTAGTAGTCTTCCTCGGCACACTCGCAACCCGCGTTACACGCCGCGTCCAGGTTCTTCTGGCCCAGGAACGACGCGCCGCTGGGGACACAAGGAAAACAACACATTTACTACACATACACTGCTGGGGACACAAGTAAAACAACACATTTACTACACATAGACTGCTCATGCTGGGGACACAAGGAAAACAACACATTTACTTAAGAAGTTAACGGCAGAACTTAACACATGTACAACTGGGGATATTCCAACAACAACAACACATATTGACTTAAACAGCACACCGCTGGGTACACAACAACGATGAAAACACATTTAACTATTAGTAAAAACGTTTAAATTGTAAAAAAAAATATTAATAAATGCAGTAAAAACATTTAAATTATTTTTTTTAAATAACGTAGAGAAAACGTCTAAACTGGTTTTTTAAAGAATAATTAGTGAAAACATTTAAACGGTTTGGGTTTTTTTATAATTAGTGAAAACCTTTAAATTGTTACCAACAAAAATAAGTAGTGAAAACGTTTAAATTGGAAAAAAAATAATAAATGTAGTGAAAACAAAATTGCTACAAAAGAAAATAATGAGTGAAAACATTTAAATTGTTTTTAAAAAATAACATAGTCAAAACATTTAAAGAGTAAAAAAAGTAAATAATGTTGTGAAAACCCCTAAAACGTTTTCGGAAAATAATGAGTGAAAACGTTAAAATTATATTTTTTTAAAATAATGTACCGAAAAATGTTTAAATTGTAAAAATAAACAAATAACAATGAAAACGTTTAAATTGTTTCGTTTTTAAAAATAATTTTAAAATCTTTCAAAAACCGCGTAGGCCATACTTGGTGTTGGTCTCTCCGTAGGGCAGCGAGACCCCGGCGAAGGGGGCGGTGTCGCACTCCAAGAGCAGCATCATTGTGAGCACGCTGAGGAGAGCAGACGCCACGATGCACAGACGCAGGATGCCACGCACCTTTAGGTTGAAGAAGCGCACGATGAGACCGCCGGCGAACGTGGCACCTCCCCCTGCTGGGACCACTGC